TTTTTTACAGGCTACATGAAAACTGGACTCTTTAAGAGCTGAATTGTGTGATTCTGGATAAATTGAGTTTTTCCCCCCAATGGAAGTTGTGGTTCTCTCATGATTCTGAAGAAAAAACATTAGACGACTAAACAAAATCACATGTAATTTATGAATTTTGTAGTATATAAAACAATCATAAAATTGCCATTAGGAAAAAAGTATAGATTACAAATGATTGATTATTGTCCAGCAGTGTATTTGAATTCTTATAGCAAATTCAAAGTAAAAGATAAGAAAAGAATTCCTTGTAAAAAAAATAAAATAAATAATAATAATAATAATACATACATTCATAAAATTATTGTATTTGACATTTCTGTCACTTCTGAAATGATGGCTACGCCCCTGGTGTGACAAAATGTTAGACTATACATAATACTTTTAAAGCTCTTTTTTAAAATCTTGGCTTACATACATTTCTACATATGCCAGAGCATCATTAAACTAGCATCTAACAATGAACAAAAGTGTTTTTCTCTAACCTATGGTTCTGTAACCATAAAGGCTGCTGTGTAATTTGCCTCCTGACGAAGCATTTAAAGAATTTAGGGGAAGCATTTAAATAATCCTGTGAATGCACTTAAAGAATGCAGAATCAAATTGTTATAATCGAATTTTATCGAATTTAATTGTGAATCGAATCGAATTGAATCGTTCTAAATTTGCAAAAATCGTTTTTGAATCGAATCGAAAACCTATGAGTCGTGAATCGAATCGAATCGCTGACTACCCAAAGATTCACAGCCCTAGATTTTAGGGACTAAACTCACCTGAAAGCAGAAAACAGCAGCGAGAGAGAAGATTTACTGCTGGTCAGTTACAGTGTTGTGCCCCGTTTCCATGGCAACTCACTCCGCTCCAGTGTTTGAATGCGAATCCAGTATTCAGCGCGCACGCCCATTAAAGATTCGCTGTTTTTTTTCTAGGCTTGATTGTGTTTATGGGGTGCAGTCTAACATGTGTTAATGCTTCATTTTTTAAAAAACGCATTATTTTTCACATAATCTACCTTTATTCCACACCGCTCTGTCCCTTCTCTGAGAAACGTGCTGATCATTTCCTGTTTTTATGAAGCCCCTCCTTCAGAAATAGGCGATGGGCTCTGATTGGTTAGCTAGCCCAGTGTGTTGTGATTGGCTAAACCGCCTCTAGCGCGCGTCTAAATGTCCCGCCCATCACCTCAGTGGCATGTGCTCGGGTTGTATTGTAAACAACGGCGTCGTTAATATCGCTTATCAGTTTGAGCTCGATTGAGAAGCAGAGGATATTATTGAAGAGGATCGTGCAGAACCTGTGTAAGCACGGCTTTTAATGGTAGGCCTATGTTTTTTTGTTTGTTGTTGTCTCATACTTTTAGATACGCTGTTATTTCTAAATGCTACTGCTTCTGATAGCTTTTAATATACGGTTTTATCCTGATTAAAGCCCCACAGGTTGACAACCCCTGGCTTAACCCACTAGTGTTAGAAGACAATCAGAAGTGCATGTACAGTGCGTGCATAATTATTATGCAAGTTGATATTCTGATCATAATTTTTTTCCAAGTACATTTTAAAATTCCAAACCACATCAATGTTAATAACTACTATTAATTTTGTATTTAATCATTTATATGTGATATATAATTAAGGAATGCTGGAAATGATAAACGTCTTATATTCAGGTGTGCATACTTATTAGGCAGGTTTTGTTTTACAGGTAAAATGGGACAAAAAAAATAGATTTAACTCAGATTTAAAAGTCAGAAATTATTAAATGCACATGAGAAGGATGCAATACTAATTGCAAAATTAAGGCGTGACCATTGGACAGCAAAACGCTCATTGGTTCAG